GGGACCTTGGAGGTCTTCTAGTCCAACCCCCTGCTCAAGTAGGAGATCCTAGACCATTTCAATCAATCAATCTGAATAGAGCTGGAAGGGACCTTGGAGATCTTCTAGTCCAACCCCCTGCTCAAATAGGAGATCCTAGACCATTTCAACCAATCAATCTGAATAGAGCTGGAAGGGACCTTGGAGGTCTTCTAGTCCAACCCCCTGCTCAAGTAGGAGATCCTAGACCATTTCAATCAATCAATCAATCAATCAATCAATCAATCAATCAATCAACCATCATAAATACATGCAATTTGATCAGGTGACTGTGGGGATGCTGCGATGATTGTTAAGTGCAAAGACCCGGATATAAGTCACCTTTTTTCGGTGGCAACTTCAGAAAGCCACCCAATGAAGAGGACCACCTGGAGCCACGATGGGTCTTTCCCGCTCACCTGTGCAGTTGCCGCCACTCCTGTCCAGCTCGTATCCATCATCACAGGCGCAGCGGAACATCCCGGGAAGATTCTGGCAGGTACCGAAAACGCAGATATTTTGGAAGGTGCATTCATCAATGTCTGCAAGGAAACACAGCACATTTTAACCTCAACATTCTCTCTTCTTAAAGACCTCTAGTGTTGGAGCATTCACAGCTTCTGGAGGCAGGTTGTTCCACTGATTAATTGTTCTCACTGTCAGGAAGTTTCTCCTTATTTCTAGGTTGCTTCTCTCCTTGATCAGTTTCCACCCGTTGTTTCTTGTCCTGCCTTCAGGCGCTTTGGAGAATAGTTTGACTGTCTCTTCTTTGGGGCAGCCCCTGAGATACTGGAAGGCTGCTATCATGTCCCCCCTCGTCCTTCTCTTCATTAAACTGGACATCCCCAATTCCAGCAACTGTTCCTTGTATGTTTTAGCCTCCAGTCCCCTGATCATCTTTGTTGCTCTTCTCTGCACTCTTTCTAGAGTCTCAGCATCTTTTTTACATCGTGGTGACCAAAACTGCATGCAGGTATTCCAAGGGTGGCCTTATCAAGGCGTTGTAGAGTTGTATTTCTTTTGGACCTCTCAGCGGCTTTTGATACTGTGGACCACAGTATCATGCTGCGGCGTTTAGGTGGGTTGGGAGTGGGAGGCACGGTTATGCGGTGGTTCTCCTCCTTCCTCACCGATCGTACGCAGTCTGTATTGGCAGGGGGACAGAGGTCGACCCCAAGGCCCCTAACTTGTGGGGTGCCACAAGGGTCGGTCCT